CTCATAGTTGAGGTATACCTATGATGAAAATTACAGGCCTCTCTCATCTTTTTAAGTGGGAGAACTTGCACAATTGGTGGCTGACTAAATACTTTTTTGCCCCACTGTATATAGCTCTAACGTTTAATGACAAATTCCCTGTTTGGGTTAATGTTGATCATTTAATTTTACAAGATGATTTTATTAGATGACATTTTAGATACTTAAAACTGATCCAGTTTCTAATGATGCTCTAGCTTTAATTTCCTCTTGTATTAACTGTGTGCCTCCTTTTTGTGGGTTAAGGTGAATATGGGGATCCAACTGATCAAGATATTCCAGTTGTGCCATTATCCCATAATGCCTACCAGATCTATGATTCTGAGGATCTTTATGAAGATGAGCAACAGCCCTATCTTGTTCATGGATCCTACACTCATCCTCATTCCTCCTACCCAGTACCTCACATTGCACAACCAGAGTTCACACCAGTTGATGAAGAAATGGAGGCTGCTGAATTGCGATCTCCTGGAATAAGCCGCTTTACAAGGAGAATCTCCAAAAGAAGCATCAGCTTTCCAAAACGCAATCGGGCAATTAAAAAAACCTCACAATGAACTTTTATATTCTTTGTGTACATTACCTACGCTAATGTTTAGGCCTTTGTCCAGTTGCCTAAATGTTGTCATGGAAACTGTTTGCAAGCATATATATTAAAGGAAAAATTATATTGTACATGACCATTTTGACAAGAAAGAGCTAATTACATTGCATGCCAGAAATTATTAACAGTATAATGGTTTATTGTTAGGTGGAAACTCCAAAAGATGTATTTGTAGATCTCTTAGTTATGTTATGATTATGGTTCAATGCACATTTCAAAACACTGCAATACTAGATGGTAAATTTGAATTAAATCAAGGAGAGTTCTTCTATAATCCCTTTCTTTCTGATTTTTTGTCTAAATTTTAATTATGTACTTCCCTCACAAAGTAAACCTACTAAAGCTATCTGAGGTCTCTGAAGTTTTAAAAAAATTATCCATATAAAGATATATATGAAGTGGGGGGTTTTCATCCCACAGCATACCTATAAAATGAATACCTGTTGGAAATGCACCAATAATTTATTGTGGGTATATTACTACTCTGTTTTCTGTTATACAAATAAATGTGGCAAACTTTTATAAATATTTTTTCTACTGTACTGATTTTAAGAGAGCAGAGTTTCAATATAAATATGAATCAGGGATATGTAAAAGCTTAGTCTGATCCAGTTAACCCTGCAATTTCAACTTCAACAATGCTGCTCTTTATCAGTCTAGTTAGCAAAGTCCTGCTTATGTCAAGGGACTTGGATACCCTCATCTTTCCTGCAAGTCAAAAATCTACTCTGCCAAGTACAATTGAATTGAAGATCATTGCATAAGGGCCATATTTGTTCATGGTCTGCCTATTCATTCCAGCACTATCACCACATATCAGCATCTAATTCCTCACATTTCTCTATAATTAGGTTAAAAAATGTTGCATGAGTGAGACCAGCACAATATAATTTTCCCCAATGTTAATTCCTGTTTAAAAATTGTTGGAATGGTATAGGATAACCCATTTTGATTATGCTCAATGCCATGATGTATGCAACTTCTTAGTATTCTTTGCCAGAAGATGTTGAATTCTCAGGCCTCAGCATGCTAGAGAAATTAAGTGAAAGATGGCCTTTCTTCTGGATATTTGTATTCATCATGCCACAATGTTGCTCCTTATGAGTCAGAAATTGTTTTGATATGAAGCCACTGAGTGAACACATTTTGAAAGCACTTTGATTGCAACTCATTATCTAATTCAATATAATAAACAGTTTTCCTTAAATATTTCCAAACCTACAACTTGAAGTAGCATTGAAGGATGCAAACCTCATTGGACTTTAGACAATCATTTTCATTTTGCTTGCAAGATCTCTCTTACCAGGCTCTAGCTTGATATTACACAAATGGATTGAATAACTTTTTTATCCCCTGATGCCACAGATCTTTTTTAAAACATACTGTTTAGACAAGAACTAATGCAAATCTGGAATGTTTGATTTTACCTTAGTAGCTATTTAAGCTCTTTTATCAATCATTATTCATCTCTGTTTGCTCAGTAATATGTAATATATCCTAAGACTGAAGACTAAGAATGACAGGTAATTTTATCAGCAATACAAGCAAACTTCATAAATTATTGGTATGACAATTAATTTTTAGAGAACCATTGAGTCAGTGGAGGAAGCATTTAAATCTGGATTATTCAGTGAAACACTGAATTCTGAATAACAGTGGTATATGTTCACAACACATGATACAAACAAGGGATAGCATACAGTACTTCTATACCCATTGCAACTGATTTTTACAGTGTTGCAACTGAGTAATCATTACTAATTATACTCATTACTTGCAGTCATTACTAACTATACTCACGTTATGAAATAACTGCACTATTTAAAGAGAAAAAAAATTATCCCTCTAATTCTTTCTAATGACAATTCACTGTCAATGCTAATTTAATTAGCTTTAAATGTTTTAGTGTTTATAGGCATGCCAAAAATAGTAATAGGGACATGGATTGTTTCAAGATTTCTTCCAAACTCTAGTAATGTTTAGATCCTAGAAAACTTACAGATTGTGCCAGATGTTCCTATAAATTAGAATAATTATGATGCATTTAAGTGCAGGAGGAACAGTAAAAGTATCTACATTCTCAATTCAGGCAGAAGTTTTGCCCTATCAGCTGTGCATTTCTAACCAGATGTGCATACATCTTCTAGGGGGACTACAATGGCTCTTCCCTTTGGCAACTTGAAAGGGCACTTTTGCCTCTCTGCCACTATGTACCTGGTTATTGCTTTGTGGCTTTCTGAATTTTTTTGCTTTTAATATTTTAATTGAAGGTATGCCACTTTGGGGACCCATGGTTGACAAGCAGCTTGTAAAACAAACTTGCTTATAAAATAAACAGCAATGCTAGACATTGACATCTAAGTACAGCCAGAAAAGGACATGAAATCCAAGTATTGCTCATTTTCCTTCTGACTGAAGGGGATAACAGAACATTGTTAGCATGTGCATAATTAATCAGTGCAATTCATTATCATAAGATGTATAGTTATGACCACTAACTTGGATGTTGTGAAAAAAAGATGTGATCAATTCATGGAGGAAGCATGAATTGTTTAGGACATAGGAGTTATCATGGGGTCATCTGTTTAGGACATGGGGACTGAGTGCTGCTAACACAACAGTAACTCAATAGAGTTGTCAATAGAGTTATTTTATGTTAGCACTACACATTCCTGTGGTCTAAATGGATGACTGCAGGTGGTGAAATTGAGGGTGGCAGTTATCTATTATAGCACTGAATATAAGCTCAGTCTTCCAAAAGGGAAGAGCTGCTAACATGGCGCCTGAAATTAAAGGTGAGATCACTGGTTAGCTCCAGCCTTCAGCAGGAACATGAAACCTAACAGCTTGCTCAAATATTTTATATATACTGGAGTAAGCATGACATAAAAGAAGTTCATCCAAAGGCCAGGAGGATATATGGAGATAAAATATACACATTATTTTCAGGAAAACATTGTTTATTACTTATTTATTTCAGCTGTTTATTGATCTCCCTCCCACCAAAAAGGGGGATATAAAAAAAAGAAAAAATGTACCAACTACAGTCTAAGCTTTGCATCTTATTAAAGATTTTTTAAAAATCAGTAATACATAAAAAAATAATTTAAAGCAGGTAAATTTAATGTTTATGCAAATAGCCATACTGTGAAGTTCTGGGAGGTTCCTGACTTTGCAAAGTCAGATTTTAGGTAGGCTTCTCTTCTGATTCTTTTACATTCTTCCTATTACGTTGGTCGAAAGTCTTCAGGGCTGTAAACAAAAGCATGACAATTCATTAATTGGGATATTTTGTCAAATAAATGCAAGAATCAGAAATAGGCTAATTTTATGCTACCATCACAGTATTAAACTGTATCTAATTTAATAGCTCAATTTCTATCATCATAAGGACATAAGAGGGAAAATACATTTGATAACTTGGTGACTAATCATTTGGTATTAGAAGTTGATAGCTATTAATGGAGAGATATAATTAATGTCCAACAACTACTGCTGTTCAACAAACTAAAATAAAAGGCACATATTGAATTATGTAGTCTTCCATTCAAAATCTGAACTAGGCACAAAAAAGTTGAATTGTGGACAACATGCAAAGCAAGAAACAGTTCTAATAAGTCTGCAATTCCCATGACCCCACTGAGCTTGGAGTTCTGGTTAGCAGATGGTAATTTCTGAAATTGGCAACAGCATCATATAACTGACAAAAAACAGTGAAGAAAGACTGCACAGATTAACTCATCACTGTACCACACAGATTTACCAAAGATCTGGAGCCCAGACTTTGTCACTTATCTCTAAAGAATAACCACATGGATGATATGGTTACAATAGCATTTTTATTGTAGTAGTCTGTAATGGTATGTGGGAATGACCTTGGGAGACTGGCCCCAGAGACACTGCCTAGGGAGTGGTCAGATAAGAGATAGCATGGCCTGCAGCTGGATAGTGGGTAGGGCAAGAGGCTCAGAAGAGACCCTCCCTAGTTTCTTGGGCTGTAAAGGAGACGGTGGGAGAATTGTACTTTCAGACTTGCAAGATTCTGTTAAAGTAGAATTTACAATAAAGTAGAATTAGCTCATCTGGTCATGTTTCCTGTCAGGTCTACCTGGTAAGGCTGACATAGTCCCACAAAGAGATGGACTGTGAAATACTCACCATTTACCACCTTCTACCTATATTTAATTAGTCAAGCTCTTTGTATTTCTTCCAAATATGGGCACAAATCTAGCTATAAACTGTTGGGAGCACTCCAAGGTTGCTCTCTCCCCAGTCTGGGTCTGTGCCATTCTAGTGGAATCACACACTAACCACCATAAAAGACAAAAATTGACTGAGGCACTTTTTACCACCATCTTTCCTACTTGGGCTCCCCCAGCCAAACACCTTTACCTTTAAGCCAATGGCTCTGCAAACAGAAAGCAGCATTCCAGAGTAAAAAAATGTCAGGTACAAATTAAGTCAGTATTAGTGGCACAAAGCAACAGTAAATTGTCTGAACAGTCTAGGATGCTCCTTATCACATGCATATATACACACACATACCCATCAAGTTTACACCCTTGGGATAAGCAACACAATGCTACGTGTGATGTGCAGAGGAATAAGAAACAGTAAGAAAAATAATTAGAGGTAAGAGAAAAGAAAAAGAAATACAGCTAAATCTAGTTCATGCCATTATCTAATGGTCATATTCTTTTTTGTGCCAAAAAAATCTGTGTTCTCAATGAATCTTTAATATTCTCTGGGGTGCCATTACCTAATCAAGCCAAAAGTAGAATATAAGAGCAATAACCCTTTTTTTTACCAGACTGTCCTAATACTTGATATTCAGAGGATTTCTGCTACAGATCCTGAAGGTAGGTAGCCATCAGGGCTGGCAGCCATTGCCAACATTCAAGGCCATTTGAAATGCATGCCTATAATCATATCTGGGCAGAGAGCCAGTATGGTGTAGTGGTTATGGACTAGGAGTGGGGAGACCCAGGTTCTAGTCCACCCTTAGTCATGAAAGCCAGCCAGGTGATCTTGGACTGCTCACTCTCTCTCAGCCCAAATCATTGTCAGGCTCTATGCCAAGCCAGCTGGAAAACCAAAGACACTGTCTCATCATGCATTGATAGCTTTGCTATGTGAAATGTTGTAAGTGCAGTACAAAACAAATAGACTCCCACAACCAAGAGGGACAAATGCTAGGAACAACTACCACCACATCTAGAGGTACCTAATTCTTTTGAGTTAATTATGTACTGTGGGAAAAAAATATTTTTGTTACTCCTAGGGCCACTCTACGTTTGTGTGCATTGCAGCACAGCCAATGTATCGGCTTTACATTGGGATCCACAGATGTGTAATGGAACAGTTCCTTTAGTCTTCTGCAGGAGTGCTGGACCAAAGATAAAATCTCCTTTGAGTGTAGCTTGACACTTGGTGATTCCTTGCCATTTTCTTGACAACAGGAAGGAAGGGGTTTGCCGTTGCCTTTATCTTTAGACTTTCCAATCTAGTCTACAACTCTGGAATTCCCTAGTAATCTCCTATCCCAGATCTAATGGTCTTCCAAGCCTAAATATGGCTAGCTTATCTGACCAAGTAATTTTATCACGTAAAAGTTTGCCCACTGCCTAATAGGGACGTTCAGAAGGAGAAAATGTCTAATCACACATACATACAGACCCAATGAATGTATAATTTACTCAAATGTGCTAGAAGACACCAAATTCAACATACAAAGATAACCCAGCACCTGTTTTAGATAAATGGGAGCCCTTAAGTTTGTCTTGGATTATACTGACGCAAAGACCACATGGAAAACCAAAATACTCTATACAACAAGGAAAAATAGTTGTTTGGATTTCAAATTATCTCAATAACCAAACACTTAAAATATTTAAGAATATTTTTATTCCAAGCATAATAAATTGCTACAGGCAAAATGCCATAATTTCCCCACAATAAACCTATGTTCCAAAATGTTAACAGCATTCAGAAGCATATGAAATACCCTTTTTGTGTATGCTAAACTAGAAATAACAAGAATTGCCATAGAACCAAAAAGGTTATTTACTAGCTCAGCAACCAGATACCAGCTCTGGAGCCCTGAAAATGGCACTCTTGCCCAAGGGACCAGATCCACATCAGTGCAAAATGGAACATCACCACTTAGTGAACAGCAGGTATTTAGTATTTCCTTGCCACAGATGGCTTCTCCAAAAAGTTTTAAACTCCTTCACCACTGTACCTCAGTGCCTTGCAGCTAGCTTATTAGCAGCATATACTAGTAATAAGACATTAAGATATGTCTAACAAGACAACTAGAACGTTCAAAAGGGACAGAATGAGTCTGAACTCCAGTTTACTTCAGCTGGTAAGAAACCATAAGGTACCCATCTCACCCCTTAAAACTCCTGAATAATCCTTCCACCAAAACAATCCCTGAGCCTGCCCATTTGGGGAGTCCAACTCTCAACGTTTCACACGAAGTCTGGAGCTATTAGAAGTTGTGCACCAATGTAGTAGTGTGTGTTGCCATGCAAATCTGTCACAGATATAGAACTGAAACAAATCTAACAAGTATTATACACAGAATGTATTTTTGACAGGTACGGAGAATGAGAAAGGCAAACCAAATGCAAGAACATTTGTGTCTGAAGATATAAATATTGTGTACACAATTCAAGCTTACTTAGTTCTACTGCAATTTAAAATATTGAATCCTTAGTTCTACTATAATAGGAATTGATCTTAAGGAAATAATCAGACTCTTGGTTATTACTGGCTTATATCTTTCAACAAAACTGTCCATCAAATAACATTGTGAGGTGGACGTTAATATTCGTGTGTGTGTGTCTGTCTTCGAGTCATTGTTTTGACTCCTGGAGACTGCCTGGACTAGTCCTGTACTTTTCTCAGCAAGATTTTTCAGAAGTGGTTGGCCCTGGCCTCCTTCCTAGGGCTGAGAGAGAGGGACTGGCCCAAGGTCACCCAGTTGGCTTTGTGCCTAAGGTGGGACTAGAACTCACAGCGCCCCAGTTTCTAGACTGGTGCCCTAACCACTATATCAAACTGGCTCTCAATATACATACAGGTGGACATTAATAAACATATGTGTAAATCTGTAAAAGGACAATGAAAAATAATTCAAAGACTTCACAAAATATTTAGGAATGTTATGGAGATACACAGTTCACATAGTCACAACCTACCTCCTCTTAACATCTCAGTGACAGAATATTCATTACCATTGGATGGTGGGTATGACATTTTTCTTAATGGGAAAAAGAACAATGAGAATGTGGCTGGGTTTCAAACATCCTGCTCTGTTTCTTGAAGTAGACTTTGTTCCCAATACAACTACCAACAAAAAGTGATGCCTATGAAAACGGTTCTATCCACAATGGCTGAGCAGTAACGCAAAGGCAAAATAGCTTACCTTGCATGGCAGAAGAAATGTACAGAATCCCTAATAGCAAGTATCTTAGTGAAAAATCTATGTGAGCAATAATTTGATTCCGGCTAGAACATGGTGAGTAATAATTATGGATGTCTCTTCTAATCTTCTGGTTCAATCCTCTATTTCCCATTAAATTACTTCTTTTAACTATGCTGTTTTTATGACATGGGCTGTTGCTAAGAAACACATTTCTGTTCAGAATAAACTTCCTATTTTTTGCCCTTGACAATGGAGCAGCTATGCAGAAGGTAGGATTCCTGTCTTTATGAGAGATACTTCTGTTATTTCCCATGTTGACAGAATAAATCAAACAAACTGGAGAGTGCATTTTTTGTAATCTGCAAAATGAACGTCCCAAACAGATGTCCACAGTATATGCAGGGAATTTAGATTTTGGCACCAAAATCTAATGAAATAGAACAAATCAATAGATTATGTGCTCCCTCTCCAGGATCAAACAAGTTTTAAATAGTGGTAAAACAAATAATCTAACTAGACCAATGTTTCTCAACCTTGGCCACTTTAAGCTGTATGGACTTCAACTCCCAGAATTCCCCAACCAGCATGCTGGCTGGGGAATTTTGGGAGTTGAAGTCCACACACCTTAAAGTGGCTGAGGTTGAGAAACACTGAACTAGACTGAAATACAACTCTCATTAGTATCAACGTATCCGTTAATTTTGATTATAATGGTATGATACACTCTACCAAATCTACTCCCAACTTTTAACAATTCATACTGTCATAAAATACCTCATTCCAAAAATAGAGATCAAGGCCACTGTTTGTTATTCACCAATTTAGTTACCACTGAGCAATTAATAATCGTCTATGAGAAAGCCAAGGAAATTGGAATGCAGTTATTATTAACTGATGACACATACGCTGTTCCACGACAAGATGTCACTGCATCTCTCAGGCTTCCTTAATTAAAACAAAAAACTGTTTGAATAGACTCTTTTTTTTTTTTTTATAAATGTTTTTTTATTTTTACAACAAACACAAAACATACATGAA